GATAAGGCTGAAAATTTTTTCACTTGTTATTTACAGTAAGATAAATACATTCACCAACTTTTATTAAAATAAAACCATTTAAACTGGGTGTTCGGATTTATATGTCACTTAGTATATATCTAGGCAAATGTTGCCATTACTTGAGGATCATCTTCTAGATCACATTACTTTTATTATTAACAGTTGCCTCGTATCAATATGTTTCCAGATATATGGAAAATTGCAAAAGTGTTACCTATACCCAAAATAGCAAATGTAAAACAAACATCAGACCAATAATTATATTACCAATCTTTTTCAAAATTCTAGAGAAAATTATGGTGCGACAAATATACCTATATGTCGAAAATAAATGCATTATACCTCACGGTAATCTGGTTTTCAAAATTCTTGAGACACAAAAACAGTGCTCGCTTGTGTCGTCGATGACATTGTTACTTCCTAGATTGCGGTAAAGCTGTTTGTTACAGTAAGGCTTTTGATATAATTGACCACGGATTCAGCTCTGCTGCCGCCCAACTTTTAAAAAAGATATCAGTATGTCTCAATTAGTAACAAATTATCTAATAGATCGTAGCTAAAAATGGGTGTACTCCAGGGCTCCATTCTCAGTTCTCTTTTATTTTCTATATACATTTCGGATTTTTCAAAATATATACAACACAGCAAACTTCCCCACTATGCGGATGATACACAAATATATTGCAACTTTGGTATTGACGATGTGGTTCCCTCTTTTAGTCTAATTCACAATGATCTAGACTTGCTTTTCCGTATCTCAGCAACTCATAACTTGTCACTTAATGCTAATTAATCGAAAATAATATTTTTGGGTCAAGAAGCAAACGCAATATCCGAGCCCCTTCCCACTTCAGTTGGCCCAACTGTTGAAACCTTAGTTATTTTCTTATCAAACACAAATAATAAAAATGTAGCAGTGTGTTATAGGTTTAAAATATTAACAATGAATATTTTGATAATATATAGTAGAAATCACCAACTTTATCACTCCCTAATCAAATTTGCAGCATAAAAATAACACATGTTGCAATTACAGTTGATATGCACTTTGTTAGACTTATCGCGGTACAGTGTGAGAAATATTGTTAGAAGATATAACGTAACGGGTTCAGCTAATATTAAGCCACGATTTGTGAACAAAAGTAATATCACAAATGCCGACCGAAGAGCATTAAAAAGAATAATCGTGGTAAACAGGCGTGCCAATTATTTACAATTAAGTGCTCTGTGGGGTGACACTGTTGGAAGGATAATTTCGAGATCCACAACTCATAGAGAGGCCCACAAACTGAGATTTAGCACTTGCAAGGTAAGTTTTCTTATGAAAAAAAGTGAAGTAAAAACCCTAAAGTTGCACAACTTGTTTATAGGCCAAAGAAAAGCCACTATTAACTCCACTGCAAAGGAAAAATCGGCTTAGATGGGCTAAAGAACATAGACAATGGACAACTCGACAATGGTGTGCAATACAATCTAGTGATGAGGCCCGATTCGAAGGTTGTGTTGGTGACAGTCGCAGTAGAGTTATTCGCAAAAAAATGAAGCATTCCATGTTGACTGTCTGAAGAGAAAAGTGAAATTTCCAGCATCCATTATGGTCTGGGGCAGTATGTCATCAAAAGGAGTAGGAAAACTTCATTTTATTGATGGAAATGTGGATACAAACAAATATTTTGCAATTTTAGAAGAATCGCTTTTACCAGTGATGGAAGAATGTTTGACATCCGACCAAGATTTTGTGTTTCAGCAAGATGGTGCAGCGTGTCATACCTTAAAAAAAGGCTATAAAATGGATGTAAGAAAATAATGTACCACTGTTAAAATGGGTCTCTAGCAGTCCAGATCTATCGCCTATTGAATCGTTGTGGCACGAGATGAAAAAGGTTCTACGACAACATCCTGTTCGTACAATCACCGAACTGAGACAAAAGCTTCAAGAAATATGGGATTGTTTTACACCAAACTTTTGCCCAAACTTGATCAACACTATGCCCCAAAGAATTTCAGCCGTAATAAAAAATGAAGGTGATATTACCCAATCGTAATCTTTCAATTGTTGCTTTGTTAACTTCGCGCATTTATTCGCACATTGTTTATTTGTTCAGATGTTCTATTAGTTATAGGTCTAAGTGATTTTAAATATGTATTTTTTACGACTAGAGTGTATCTAAAATGTTTTTGAGAAAATAAATTGTTTTAAAAGTAAATAGTTTCGTCATGTTTAGTTTATAAAGGCATATTTTGCTAAAAATCTTGAAGTGGGCCAACTGAAGTGGGAGGGGCTCGTACATAGCAGGAAATCTTTGTCCATTAGCAAACCTTAGGGTTATGAATAATGAATTAAAATTTGATTTCCATATTAAAGAATTATGTTAAAAATCATATAGTATTCTCAAACAAATTACGTTATTGAAATATACATGATGTATCAAAGCCTACAAGCTAAATGACTTGCTGGATTGGTTCTAGATAAGCTATTTCAAATTTTAAAGAATTCATGAGTACATACTTTGTTTTAGATGATACGGCAATTGAAATTGTAGATGAAACAAAGAATTTAGTGATTGTATTGGATACAAATTTAAGTTTTGAGAACCATGTCATAAACAAACTTCGAATAGGCTATTTTAAGCCACTTTGGAGGTACAAACATGTTTTATCTACCTTTGTTACTGAAGAAATGAAACCCACAAGTTTAACAAAACTGCTGCATGAGATTCTGTTTCAAATATAAACTTAAACAAGAACATGTTACCGGCTATTATTTAAGAGAAAATGCTTTAAAATTCAAGTATATGCCAGTTCATGCAACGTCTACATTCGAAAACTGCTTTACTTACACAGCACCATGTCTACTGAACGATTTTTGGAGCTTTTTGAAACACCTTACATCCAAAATTTCAGAAATGAGATGAAAAAAGTGCTACTTCTGCTACAAAGATTTGAATCCACAAATTGAATTTAGTAGTGGTTGCTATTCTAACTTTCACTAGCAATCTGACTATAATCTGTTACATATAGTGTTGTGCGTAATGCTAATCACTCCATCTACTTGATGTTAAGTTAATGTTCAACAAACTAACTTTTTAGGGGGAGGTGAAAAATGGCTGTGCCTTTTGGAATGTTGTCCATTTGATAGTCTTCCTACGCATTTACTTTCCATCACTGATCGAAAGTTATTTGTCAAATCGCCCACAATCTGTGCAGATATCAGGATCATTTAGTAAAGAAATGTATATTAAGTGTGGTGTCCCACAAGGAACTGTCTTAGGTCCGCTGTTATTCAATATATATAAATGATATTTTCCAAATTAATTGTGTTGGCAAAATAACTAGTTTTGCAGATGATACTGCAGTATTATATGAAGGCACTGGTCTGATCTGAAAAATGTAATTGAAAATGATTTTATCAAAATTATTCGGTGGTTTAACAGTAGAAAATTAAGCATTAACTACTCTAAGACACATTTTTTACCATTTGGATCTTATGCTAGACATCTGCCAAATTACACAAATTTCTCCTTCAATATTAATGATCAAAAAATGCAAATTAATAGAGTGCCCAACATAAAATACCTTGGAGTGGTCTTGGATCCTCACTTACGATGGGACATCCATGTCAATTATATTTTAAAGAAAGTTAGATTTGTATCCTACAAAATTAAATACCTTGGGAATATATTGACAGAAAAATATCTTCGAACATTATACCATGCACTGATTGAGCCTCATCTCACATATGGTATATTAACATGGGGAGCTGCATGTTCCTCACATATCTATAATTTAGATGTTTTTCAAAAAAGTATTCTAAAAATGATATTTAAAAAACCGAAACTTTATCCCACTGAAAAATTATACGCAGATAATCGAATGTATGATATAAGACAGCTTTATTTCTTACACAGTATCACTCACTACCATTAATTTGTAAACACCGACCAAAAAATTAAACATAATCATTATACCAGGTACAAAATTCGTGGCACAGTAGTTCCTCAACCGCATAAATCTATAATGCAGCGATCATATCTCTATTTAGCGCCTAAATTTTATGAAATTATACCTAAAGACTTAAAAGATTTACGTTTCGGAAATTGTTTCAAAAGAAATTTAAAAAAGTGGCTACATTCTATATCTAGGACTGACATTCATAAACTCATAAATACGAACATCAACTAAATACATAATCTACTGTAGCTAATTTTTGTCCTTTTTTGTCATTTGCATTCTACAGTTTCAACTTAAATTATTGGTCCATGTACAGGCGATGCCTTCTATTGGGCCTGTTTTGATTTTATATTTATTTAGTCATATTGTTTGTTATCTCTGTACATTGAGTGAATAAATATTATTATTATTATTATTATTATTTAAAAAATGTTTATTATTTGCTATCATAGAGAGAAAAAGTGATTTTGAAAATCATACTTCAACATCCTGCATCTCACTAACGAGCGACAGTTTACTAATTTGGTTCCATGACATTATCCGCACAAGTTTAATGCAGGATTTCTTTTTGGGGCATTTCTTACGGACCGGACAGTACTTATGTGTTTGAGGCAGTGGAACCATGTTGTTAGCATCACTTGAACCTGTGTTAGGCGAGTTTTTAACATTTCTGGCAATTAACATAACTCATCATAATTCATTTATAACTGGGTTTCATTATAGCCTCACAGCTATTTTTTTTGTTATGATAAAGTTCATTGCAATAAAATGATCTCAATAATATTCATGTCTTGTATAAATAGACTCCACTTAAATTAATTTGCCTAACAAACCGTCATGTCATGCAAATGCAATACGAAAAAAAAACTTGTCACAATGCCTGTTCCAGCCGGGTGGTTTTCATTTGAATATCCACCAACCGAGTATTCTTGGAAATTTACATACACCCCTCTCGATCTGATACGGTTCGACGTACTAGGCTGGTAGTACTTGTACTCAACAAATTGTGTTACTACCCGATAATTTACCGTTTCCTTTACACGTTTTTCCACGAAAAATCCAACTTCTTTGTTAAAACGAACACTTGCTGTACGCACTGCGTCTTCCCACAACTGGCGTTCTGTGGTACTACATTGTTGCCGGAATAGTGGAAACTCAATTTTATCGATTGAAGTATAGAAGATTTGAGGCCATTGGGAGGTACTTTGGACTATTCGTCTTTTGACGATTTTCAGGTCATCTCTATTATCAGCAAAGTGCACATGTGTGGAGCTTAAATAATTTTTGTAGATGAAGAATCTATTTCGATGAAGAATCTAGAAAAATTATTCAAACTGCCTATCTCCAAGTAGAATACAATGCTACAGTTTTATCTCCATAGTGTTTTGTAGTGTCTTCTTGCTAATCTGGTTTTCTTCCCTTTTCCTTCACAGCAAAAAAATTAATGATGATGGATCCCTGGAGTAGTAAGAATTTCGGACGTAAACTCACTCCATTCTCGAAGTATCCGGGTGGTACGTGGAATCGAGGGAACAACATCAATGATAAAATCTGTTTCACGAACATCTTCGGTATTAACGGCAATATTGATGATGTTCAACACTATTTGTATCTGCTGTCTAATCGTTCCGTTCATGTTAAAAAAAAACAAAAATCATTTTTTTTTGTTTAAAACATTCGCAGCAGACAAATATTAAATTTCTGGCGGAAAAGCTCTGGCGATGCCACAAGATGTTAGATGGAACACTCTGTTGAATCTTATCTAGGCACATATTATCAAAAATTTGTTTAGAAAACCGAGCTGCTGTTGATATTCATATCTCGGAAAAAATTAATCATTTAAATTTAAAAATAAATGCTCGCGACTATTTAGTACAGTTAAAACAAATAGCAATTGCCCCAGATAAGATTCAACGAGATGACTGTACAATTAGCACAGAAATTTGGATGGACCTATTTGCCTTTTTTAAAGAAAATGAAAATTGCACTGATTCAGATAGATCTAGGACTTAAATTGAATCTAGAGCAACGAGGAATAGGTCTTGAGTATGCCTCTCGTTATTATCCTGAAGCGATGCCTTTTATTGTACGTTATCAGGCAAAAACATCACCATTTAAGGATTATTTAGTTCAAGACAAGTTGAAAGGCCTCACATCACTTGTTTCGTGGAAGTCCTTGAAAGATAACTCAAATGAAATTACAGTAGACCTAGTTCAGCAGCTTCATACAGTAGCTGCTTAATCTGCTGGGCTTGAGCGTATTTTTGCCTCATTTGGGATAATCCACACCAAACTTCGTAATGAGTTGGGCACAGAAAAAGCGGCAAAATTGGTCCCAGTATTTAAACACCTAAATCACAGCGTGAAAAAGTAGAATTGTTACATTTCTTTTACTTGGTGTTCCGTAAAAAGTAGTGAAAACTGAAAATGTATTCTATGTACATAAGCCATGATTTTATATTATAAAAATATGGATTTAAGGATTTTTTGTTAAATGAGATGCATTGTATACTTTTATACCGGGTGCGCCATGTTTTATGTCGGTATTGAAACATCGAATGACTTTGATATTTACCAATCGAGTGATTTGGTTATACGTGTTTCTGAACCGTCATTTTACTACAATTTTAGTCATGAATCGCTTTACACCGAAACAACGCGCCGAAATAGTCACAATATATACTAAGTGACATATAAATCCGAACACCCAGTTTAAATGGTTTTATTTTAATAAAAGTTAAGAGCCAAAAATAACAAACTCCATCTTTATTTACACTGCTTTCCGACTTAATTTGCGTCTGGCATTGCAGCGTTGTCATATTTTATTTTACTTAAAGTCGCTTTTCTCTAAAAAAATGCCGTTTTGACCCCCATGTTATATGAAACTTTTCTCTTCCTTTAACCCCCTCTATCACCCATTTAAATAATGACTATCATAACGTTTACACTCTGTATAATGTTATACGTTTATTATATATATATATATATATATATACATATATATATATATATATATATATATATATAATCAAAATCCCATTCACCCTAAAGGGTTAGGGTTAAACAAAACATTACCAAACCTACTACTATTTGTACATGAATTTAGTCCATTCTTTTTTGTTTAAAGCAAGTTTCTTAGCTTCTCTCTAATCCGTTCCTCTTTTCATCAATATCTGTTCTATGCTATCCTCCCATGTTCTTTGTGGCCTGCCGCTTCTCCTTTTTCCTAGCACCTTACTCTCTGAAACTTGTTTCACCGGTTTGTTGTCAGCCATTCTTTGTAAATGTCCCCACCATCTCAGCCGCTTCAATTATGTGTGTTCTAGTATAGATTCTATCTCTAACTCCGTTCTTATAGTCTCGTTTCTTATTTTGTCCATTTGACCTCTTTAACTCGTCTCAAGTATACTAAGTGACATATAAATACGACCACCCAGTTTAAATGGTTTTACTTTAATAAAAGTTGGTGAATGTATTTATCTTACTGTAAATAACAAGTGAAAAAAATTTCAGCCTTATCAGTTGGACATTCCGGTTTTTATACTGCTTTTTTTTAATTCACTAACGCTCTAAAAATGAATATTTCAGCCGCAGTAAAGAATCAACGTTGGCGGATTTTGGTTCTTGACATCCTTTACGATCGGTTACGATGCCTAGAGTACGGAGACCTGTACGATTTCGTCAACTTAGTGAGTTTAATAGGGGCCGTATAGTGGGACTTCGGGAAGCTGGATTTTCTTTTCGGGCAATTGCAGTTAGAGTGCAAAGAAGTGTAGACACTGTGGTTAGGTGTTGTCAGGCATGGCTTCGAGAAGGCCGTACGCAAAGAGCAAGGGGCACTGGACGCCGCCGTAGAACAATAGACCGTGAAGATCGCCGCCTAAGATTATTGGCCTTAAGGGACCGTTTCTCCACTACCAGGTCCATTGCAAATGAATGGTTTGCAGAACACGGAAGACCTATTGGCATGCGAAGTGTTTACCGACGAATAAGAAGTTTTGGCTTGTTTTCATACCGGCCACACTGGGTCCTCCCTTTAACTCGAGAACACCGACGTAATCGCCTTGAGTGGTGCAGACAACGGTCACTCTGGGATCAGGAATGGAACAGTATTGTCTTTAGTGACGAGTCTCGATTTTGTTTAGGCATGCACGATGGTCGTGCCAGGGTTAGAAGGCGACGTGGTGAAAGGAGAAATCCACAGTTTTTTGTTGAAAGACATGTTCATCACACTGTTGGAGTTATAGTTTGGGGTGCTATAGCTTATGGTTTCAGGTCACCTTTAATCTTCATCAGAGGTAACGTGAACGCGCAGCGTTATATCCACGAAGTTCTAGAACCCCATCTTTTACCCTATCTTGACACCCTGGCAGATCCAACTTTCCAACAAGATAATGCCCGACCACATGTTGCAAGAGTCACAATAGACTTATTTCAACATAATGATGTCACATTGTTACCATGGCCACCAAGATCTCCCGACTTATCCCCAATTGAGCACGTGTGGGATATGATGGGTAGGAGATTGCTCAATTTGCAACGTCCTCCTCAGACTCTAGAAGCACTTCGAGAGGAGTTGGTGGTTGCCTGGAATGAGATACCACAGGAGGACATTGACCACCTGATCAGAAGCATGCCTAGGCGCGTTGGAGAATGCGTAGCACATCAGGGTGCATCCACACATTATTAAAGGTCAAAGGGCTTTAAAGCAGTGCAATCATTTTGAAATTTTTATCATTTACTTATTATGCTTCATTAAGTACTTATACAAAATTTTATCAAAATAAAACCATTTAAACTGGGTGTTCGGATTTATATGTCACTTAGTATATTTCATTTCAACTGCCTGAAGTTTACTTTTTTGTTGTTGCGATAGAACCCAGGATTCGCATCCATATATCAATATAGGTCTATATATTGTATTATACACTGTCATTTTTGTTTTCTTGGACACCTCTTTTTTGTTGATAAAACCTTTATTCATCGCATAGTACAAGTTGTTTGCCTTCCATATCTGGTCAGAAATTTCTACTTCATTTCTGACGTTAGGTTCCAATATAGCTCCCAGATATTTAAAGGAGCGCATCTATTGCAATTTTAGGTTCCAATATAGCTCCCAGATATTTAAAGGAGTGCATCTATTGCAATTTTACATTATCTATTCGTATGTCCATATTGAGTTTTTCATTTGACACAGCCATAACTTTAGTTTTAAGTTTATTTAGTTTCATACTATTATCTTCAAGTACTGTGTTCCAAATGTTCAAATTTTCCTGTAGACTCCCAACACTGCCAGTTACCAACACCAAATCATCTGCAAATGTAGACTCTGCTAATTCCACTTTTTGCAACAATTGGTTTTGTTCTTTGCCTGCATTGTCTTATCAGATCATTCATAAATACTATAAACAATTTATTATTATTTATTATAAGATAAAATGTAAAACTTTTGCCCGCCACCGAAAAAACATATTTTATTTGCTAAAAAAACTGTAATGTTTGTCTTTGCGGCATGTCAAGGGTCATCGAAAAACAGTGTTCTCAGGGGTGCACTTTAACAACAAAAGCAAACTTTTAGTCTTAATCAAAACAGAAAAGCTGCATCTAATATAACAAAACAACTCTTATAAAACTGTTCCATTCTAGCTCTATAAGTATTTTCAGTAAAACTGTTTTATAATAACACTAGACAACAAATTTTAGTTTTTTAATTGTATCTTGTGGGAAAACTGCACTTCTTTGTTAATTTTGGGGCGCTGAATCCAAAAATGACAATGAAATAAAAAAATTAGTTGCGGTTTAGAAAAAAAACTTTTTATTTTTAAGGATATATTAAAAAAAGTAACAAGATTCATATACTTATAAGAATCACTATATGCGCTGTATTTTTGCTGTTCTTTTATGGATCGTTTCTGGAGCATCTCTACCAAGAGTCCAACAGTAGTCTACAAGCATGGAAGGATTCCACTTTCCCTGGTACCTTTTTTCCATTGTTGAAATATCCTGATGAAAACGTTCGCCGTGCTCATCACTTACGGCTCCGCAATTGTCAGGAAAAAAGTCCAGGTGTGAGTGCAGGAAACGTATCTTAAGAGACATATTACAGCCCATCTTTTGATAAGATGACAGCATATTTTTGACAAGGGATTTATAGTTGTCAGCTTTTCATTTCCCAAGAAATTAGTGACCACCAGACGGAAATCATTCCAAGCACTTTTTTCAATACCTGGTAAAGTGTTTTCAAACTGTGTATCTTTCAAAATATTTCGAATCTGAGGCCCAACAAAAATACCTTCTTTAACCTTTGCCTCACTTAGTCTTGGAAATTTCTGACACAGGTATTGAAAAGTTGACCCATCTCTATCTAATGCCTTGACAAAGTTTTTCATTAGGCCCAACTTGATATGCAGTGGTGGTAATAAAATTTTTTTCGAATCTACTAATGGCATATGCTGTACATTTTTTTGACCTGGCTCTAGGAATTGACGAACAGGCCAGTTTTGTCTTTGCCCGACTGTCCCTTTCACACAAAAAACAGCAAAACTTTGTGTAGCCCAGCTGCAGCCCAAGTAAAAGTGCAACAACTTTCAAATCGCCACAAATATGCCATTGGTGCTCATCGTATTTTATGCATGTCAATAGGTACTTTATATTGTCATATGATTCTTTCATGTGAACTGCATACCCTACAGGAAGAGATGGTAAAATATTTCCAATATGCAATAACACTGCCTTTAAACTCAATGTTGAACTGTCTATAAACAATCTCCATTCTTCTGGGTTATAGTTTATATTTAAAGCCGCCAGTAAGCCGTTAATGTTACTGCAGAAAACCAAGTTATTCTCCATATTGAAAAATGGCTCTAAGTCTTTGTGACGTTTACGAAAAACACATACCGAAACATCGTCTTCTAACAAGTTTCACTGCGGCAGTCTTGATCCAAATAACTCTGTCTTACATATTGGAAGTTCTAAATCTCTTACAAGATCATTTAATTCTGACTGTGTTATTTTGTGCGGTTGGTGGCATGACGTGCTCGGTATAAAATCAGGATCTCTTGACGTTGATGGCATATCTCCTTCCTGACGAATCACTCGATCGCCATGATCTGATTCGTTTTCTGATTCGCAAGTGTAGGATTCTGGGGGTTTTGGAATAGGATTTTCGTCACTGTGAGGCACAGGTCTCATCGCAGGTAGGTTTGGGTAGTTAATAACCGATTTTTTTTTCTTGGACATACCTGTGGCTTGTCCAACACAAGGTACCATGCAAAAGTAACAATCATTGATATGATTTGTAGGCTCTCTCCAAACCATTGGGACAGCAAAGCGCATAGACCGTTTTTTGCCATTTAACCAGCTCCTCAGACTGGAAGCACATGTATTACAGCAGATGTGGGGTGCCCACTGTTTGTCTTGATCACCTAGTTTACAACCGAAATAAAGCTGATATGCCTTTGTTATTAGTGGAGTAATAGACCGTCTCTGAGACGCAAAAGTCACATCACCACACACGTAACAAAACTGATCTGGATTGTTTACACACTTTCGAGACATCTTGCACGAACGCTGTCAGCCAACTGAGGAAAAAATGGCTAATATAAAACAATATAATGTACACGTATGTATAACGTAACACAATCATACCGATTACATCATCTTTCCTTGCCGAATATTAAAATGTAGCACGTGCATTCTTGTGAATTACAGTATATTAACACTGTCACAGCAGGAACACATATAATTACCGTATCTCTAAAACTTGAACTAATATTGAAAAAATAAGATTCATTCCGGTTCACATTAAAAATAGTAGTATTTTGTTGATTTTATTTTGGATATTTTTTGGCTGTTGATCAGTGTAATTTAAAAACAAAATTGTTGCGCAAGAGTGCCCCCTTCCGGGTTTATAAGCTATGAACGTTATTAGAAATAGTTATTTCATAAAAATAGTTCTGTAAACGTTGTTAGGCCCTTTATAAAACATAAATTGTTAATTTGGACGTGAGCTTCTGTAGTCTTGTCGCACACCTCAAGAATATTACGACAACGTGGCATCGTCGCATCGCAGTATGGGCAATTTCGACACGCATCCTAAGTAATTAACGCAATACTGCCTTCTAGTTACGTGCTGATTTATGGATTAAATGCCCAACGGATTTATCGCTATAGCGACTAATTTTAAAATACTATAAACAATTTATTATTATTTATTAGAAGATACAATGTCAAACTTTGGCCCCTCACAGAAAAAACATATTTTATTTGCTAAAAAAACTGTAATGTTTGTCTTTGCGGCATGTCAAGGGTCATCGAAAAACAGTGTTCTCAGGGGTGCACTTTAACAACAAAAGCAAACTTTTAGTCTTAATCAAAACAGAAAAGCTGCATCTAATATAACAAAACAACTCTTATAAAACTGTTCCATTCTAGCTCTATAAGTGTTTTCAGTAAAACTGTTTTATAATAACACTAGACAACAAATTTTAGTTTTTTAATTGTATCTTGTGGGAAAACTGCACTTCTTTGTTAATTTTGGGGCGCTGAATCCAAAAATGACAATGAAATAAAAAAATTAGTTGCGGTTTAGAAAAAAAACTTTTTATTTTTAAGGATATATTAAAAAAAGTAACAAGATTCATATACTTATAAGAATCACTATATGCGCTGTCTTTTTGCTGTTCTTTGATGGATCGTTTGTGGAGCATCTCTACCAAGAGTCCAACAGTAGTCTGCAAGCATGGAAGGATTCCACTTTCCCTGGTACCTTTTTTCCATTGTTGAAATATCCTGATGAAAACGTTCGCCGTGCTCATCACTTACGGCTCCGCAATTGTCAGGAAAAAAGTCCAGGTGTGAGTGTAGGAAATGTATCTTAAGAGGCATATTACAGCCCATCTTTTGATACGATAACAGCATATTTTTGATAAGGGTTTTATAGTTGTCAGCTTTTCTATTCTAAAGAAATTAGTGACCACCAGACGGAAATCATTCCAAGCAGTTTTTTCAATACCTGTTAAAGTGTTTTCAAACTGTGTATCTTTCAAAATATTTCGAATTTGTGGCCCAACAAAAATACCTTCTTTAACCTTTGCCTCACTTAGTGGAAATTTCTGACGCAGGTATTGAAAAGCTGACCCATCTCTATCTAATGCCTTGACAAAGTTTTTCATTAGGCCCAACTTGATATGCAGTGGTAGTAATAAATTTTTTTTCGAATCTACTAATGTATGCTGTACATTTTTTGACCTGGCTCTAGGAACTGACGAACAGGCCAGTTTTGTCTGGTGTAATGAAGTGCATTTGCCCGACTATCCCATTCACACAAAAAACAGCAAAACTTTGTGTTGCCTAGCTGCAGCCCAAGTAAAAGTGCAACAACTTTCAAATCGCCACAAATATGCCATTGGTGCTCATCGTATTTTATGCATGTCAATAGGTACTTTATATTGTCATATGATTCTTTCATGTGAACTGCATACCCTACAGGAAGAGATGGTAAAATATTTCCAATATGCAATAACACTGCCTTTAAACTCAATGTTGAACTGTCTATAAACAATCTCCATTCTTCTGGGTTATAGTTTATATTTAAAGCCGCCAGTAAGCCGTTAATGTTACTGCAGAAAACCAAGTTATTCTCCATATTGAAAAATGGTTCTAAGTCTTTGTGGCGTTTACGAAAAACACATACCGAAACATCGTCTTCTAACAAGTTTCACTGCGGCAGTCTTGATCCAAATAACTCTGTCTTACATTTAATTCTGACTGTGTTATTTTGTGCGGTTGGTGGCATGACGTGCTCGGTATAAAATCAGGATCTCTTGACGTTGATGGCATATCTTCTTCCTGACGAATCACTCGATCGCCATGATCTGATTCGTTTTCTGATTCGCAAGTGTATGATTCTGGGGGTTTTGGAATAGGATTTTCGTCACTGTGAGGCACAGGTCTCATCGCAGGTAGGTTTGGGTACTTAATAACCGATTTTTTTTTCTTCTACATACCTGTGGCTTGTCCAACACAAGGTACCATGCAAAAGTAACAATCATTGATATGATTTGTAGGCTCTCTCCAAACCATTGGGACAGCAAAGCGCATAGACCGTTTTTTGCCATTTAACCAGCTCCTCAGACTGGAAGCACATGTATTACAGCAGATGTGGGGTGCCCACTGTTTGTCTTGATCACCTAGTTTACAACCGAAATAAAGCTGATATGCCTTTGTTATTAGTGGAGTAATAGACCGTCTCTGGACGAAAAAGTCACATCACCACACACGTAACAAAACTGATCTGGATTGTTTACACACTTTCGAGACATCTTGCACGAACGCTGTCAGCCAACTGAGGAAAAAATGGCTAATATAAAA